TACTACTCTCTCTCTCTCTCTCTCTCTCTCTCTCTCTCTCTCTCTCTCTCTCTACTAGATTTTCTCTTTCTATCTCTACACTATCAAGACTTTGGTGTCTATTCTATGGGTTCCAAGCTCGGGTGCATAGACCTTAGGAACATTGAAAAAGACCGATCTGTTTTCCTGTATTGCGAGGACGAATTGCCCTTCTTATGCACAACAAATATTACATCAAAAGGGGATAAATATCGTCCTGAGATAGCGATGTGCCCGAAAACAAGAAGAGTTCTAGTTCCCTATTTTGTACATTGTATCATTTTCTACCCTTATTTCACCCACCAAAACTGCAACACCCGCTTTCAATCAAAATCAAAGAATTTTACTTAAGAAGTCAAGAAGGTCTGATAAGAAAGTTCTCTTTCTTGTCTATCAATGAATAAATGAAGCTACTTTTGAGATAATTACTTGCCCTAGCAATTCAAAGCAAGTATAGGAGACTCTTCAATATTTGTTAAAGGGAGTTGATAAGGTGAAGATGGTGGTGCACCTTCAAAGTCTTTGAGCCGAGTTTGACGCATTGCACATGATTGAATCCCAAAATATTTCAGATTAGTTCTCAAGAGCTTCAGTTGTGGTAAACCAATTGAGAATAACTGGAGAAAGATTGGAAGATGTTGAAATGATGGATAAAATGCTTCGGTCACTTGATTTACATGTCATTTGTTAAGGAGTGATGACAAAGAAGTGAAGATGAAGGACAGGTGAATGAACAAACCTAGTAAGGGTTTTGCATGCCTAAAACTAGCACACTAACAACTCATTTCCTCATCATCGGATGGTTGGAAGCCTGCCTTAATTTTCAACATTTCCTACTGTTGTTCATCGGGAGATCTTTGCCTGCAACCACATAGAGAGGCATCAGATATTTTAAGCCTCACCATTGATTCAAATGATCACATCACATGATCTAATGGGAAAAAGGAAAAAAAAACATGAAAAAAAAATTAGAAAGAGTAAGGATTCACAGACAAATCTTTCTTTTCTTCCAACGCTTTCATGATTTTTGCAGCAAAAAACTCGATGAACCTCAAAAACCCTAAATTTTCATTAACCATAGTTATTGCAACTCTCCTAGAGCAGACAAAAAACCCAACTTCTCACCTAAAGTTTTTCACGATTATATGAGAAAAAACAAAGAAACCTCCATGAAAACTTCATTGCTTGAGCTCTTACACTCTTTTGGTTCAGTCCGCCAAAGGCACCCCTTGGAGGCTTTATCTCTCGAAAAAAGATATTACCATTCATTCCTCTCACTTCACTTTTTATCAATAAGATTATAGTAAAAAACAACCACCTGTTTGCCCCTTAATTTAGATCATAAAACAAATCTCCCTCTTTGTCTGTCTAAATCTCCCTCTTTGTCTGTCTCATTTTCCAATAGGCTCAAAGAGAAGTTATGCTAATGAGAGACTACGAGAGAAAGAATCCATAATATAGATAGACAAAGAAGGATAAAAGGTATTTCCAAAAAAGAAAAGGTTAAAAAAAAATTCTATACATTATAAGACAATGTATCTAAAACGCACAGGACCATTACCTTTCATAGGAGAATTATATAGAAATTATTAGTTGCATTTATATTTGGAAATATGGTCATATATTTTTTATTTCAGGAGGTCACAATCATCAATGATCGTTAGATTTGAATTCGGGTGGTTGAGAACGTGCCTCATGTACCCGACCCTAATTAATTGGAAAAAAGTTCTGACGATGATGATGATGCCCCAATTGTTTGGGCACAAAGTACAAAATGAAATTTATCGGACTATTTTTTGCGACACTTTTATCCATTCGATTTCACATCTAATGACCAAAAATAAGTATAACCTCTTTATACTAAAAAATAAATAGTCTTATAATATACAATCTCTTTAGTTTTTAGGAAAAGTATTTTATGAGTCGTGCAAGAGCCCGTGGACTCTTCAATGTTAAAATGGACAATGGTAAAGCGCACGGGGTCAAATCGAATATAGACAGTGCCAAAAATATCCTCAAAAAAAGGACATTTTAAAGTTTAAAAAAAATCATATTTGTGATACGCTTAGCTCAGATGATGAATCTCTAAAATTCTAAATAAAAAAACCCATTGTTGAGGTGAATTTTAAAGGGACCACGTGTACATATGAGTCGGCCAACTCATAAAAACCCCATCCTTGAATTTATGTTATAAAATATAGAGCACTGCAACCTTGAACCTAACCCAAGTGGCCAGGGCCAGTATCTAGGTTCACACCCAGATTCAGGTGAGGTTACACTGTCAAGTTCGCGGGCCAAACCGACCCAATTATGAGCCCTATTAAGAGGTGAAAGTACTGATAAAATTGTTAAAATATATTTTTTAAAAAGTATATTAGTTTTTATGTTATTGTATCATGAGTAACGTAGTAAGGTTGCACTTGTAAGTTTGTGCAGTAAGAAGTTGTAAAACTACTAGGTGGTTAGTAGTTATTGTTACAAGTGGGTAGTTATTGTTGAAAATATGGTTGTAAAAATCCTCCATTTGAAGAGAGGTGTACGGTGAGAAAATTGGGTTACATGTATTAAGGTTAATCTTGTGTGTTGAGATTGTAATGTCTTTGTGTACATACCCCTGGGTCACGTCTGTTGAGGTTAACCTTTGGTGCCTTTGTGTACCCCATGTTTTTTTCTTGAATGAAGTGTTTCTTCCACTTAATTTTGGTTGTTCTTGTTCTTTCTACACTGTTACACTATTTGAGAAGTGGATTGTTCCAGTATTGCGACATCCGCTTCTATATAGTATAAAAGCTACAAGGGTGCTGGTTATGTGGTCTTGACTCCCCTGGTGAAAAAGATCAATTGTCTTTTTGAAGATGAATTTGGTGGAATGTTTAACGGTTTTAATATTGAGTTGGGAGCGCAACTCAAGACGGTCTTTCTAATGCCCAATTCTTCTTAAAGATCTCTCGTTGATGTGGAAGAACCTATTCGGGGGCACGAATGAAGGACTTGTCATTCATGGGTTAAAAAGGGAGTACATTTCTAATATTACGTTTATTCAAGGGTGGGCTGTGTAGCCTAGTTGGTGAAATTTGATAATCTCTTTGGTGGCCTGTTAAATGGCTGGATATTCAATTTTGGAAAATAATGGAGATGATCACGTATGTATAGTCTCCCATTTCTAGAAAATCACTTTAAGAGAGAGTGTTAAAATTGTTAAAGTGTATTTTTTAGAAAGTATATTGGTTTTTATGTTATTGTATCATGAGTGAAGCAGTAAGAAGTTGCACTTGTAAGTTTGTGTAATAGGAAGTTATAAAACTACTAGATGGTTAGTAGTAATTGTTACAAATTGATAGTTATTGTCGGCAATATGATTGTAAAAAACTTCTATTTAAAGAGAGATGTATGTACAAATTGGTAGTTATTGTAAGAAATATGATTGTAAAAAACTTCTATTAAACAAAGGTGTCTGGTGAGAAATTTGGGTCACATGTATTACGATTAATATTGTGTGCTGAGATTGTAATGCCTTTATGTACCCATGGGTCACATGTGTTCAAAATTAATCATGGGTATCAAGCTTGTAATGCCTTTGTGTACCGCATGTTTTTTCTTGAATGAATGATTTTTTTCGACCTAATTTTTATTGTTCTTCTTCTTTCTATTTGGTTGTGAGCCTTGGGCTAATGTGACATTGTTACACTATTTAAAAAACGGATAGTTCTCATATTGTGGTATCCAGTCATTATCTACAAAAGTGCTTTTCATAGCTAAAGAAAACTTAGAAAGCGCATTGATGAGAAACAAACTTGCCCCTTTAAAGAGGGCCAAAATTGTAAGGGTGCGCGGATTGTATAAAGCCTAGGCTCTAAATAATCAACTTAGAGCCTACCTTCAAATAGTATCGATAAATGCAGTTTCAATATCAGAAATCTTTGTGATAGCCTTAAAATATATTTGTATCTTTATTTGTGAAATTTAAAGCTTCAAAAATGTTGTAGATCGACAGATCTATAAAAACTTGAAAATCTTGAAAATTGACCGTAAAAAAATACATTACAAAATACACTATTTCCAAAACTTGAAATCAATTTTTTTTCTCATGTCCATGCATCTTGATGTCAAGATGATCAAATTTGTGGATATCTGGGCATCAAAATAATCTTATCTAGTGAAATTTTTGAGGTAGGTTCAGATTTGATTATTTTGGGCCTCCGCTCTATATAAACTTTTCACAAATTGTAAAGCAATGGAATGAGATGTTGAACCCTTCATTGGCGAATCCAAGATAAATTAAATTTCTCAATAGCAAGCATATCAACATTAATCCTTGCAAAATCTACATGACCATAAACCAGATCCACACTTTCTTACACAAACCAAGGTCCCCATGCCATGCCAATCAACAATCATAAGAACCCTAAAATACACCAAAATCAGACACAAAAACAAATAAAAATGTAGATAAGTTAGAGAGAGAAAGACAAAGATAGAGAGAGGAGTTTAAGCCCTGGTCTTGAATGGAATGGCTCGGATGACTATCTGGTGATAAACAGCAGCAAGGGCAGCTCCAATGAATGGTCCAACCCAGAAAATCCACTGCCAAACAGAAACACACAAACACAATTTTAGAGAGAGGGAGTTTCTCACTAGAGTGAAAAAGTAGAAAAAGTAAACTCATTATCGTCAAATTTAAAAATAAAAATAAAAATTTAAGGGTCCGTCAGACAAATGATTGTCGCCCTCAAGGGCGGAGTATTGACAGCGGCTGCTTTATGTATAAGCCAAAGGTTATAATTATTTTCAACCCATTTTTCTCGAAATCCTGTTTAGGCGGGACCAACATTGGGCTTCAGCTCTTATCATCGTCAAATTTGTTTTCAAATAATTGAGATCGGCTATACAAATCCTATACAAATCCTAATTCCATGATAAATTTTAGCTACCTGTATAAAGCAACCTAGCCCTTTATCCGGGCTATGGGACCGGATTAAGAACAGGTCCTCTACCTTCTTAAACAAAAACCGGAAAAAGTAAAGTAAAGAATCAAATTTCAAATGGGCATCATAAGTTTTATAAAAGCATAATTTTTGTAGGGCCCCCTATGGACGGCCAAAAGCCATGTCCCAGCTTTACCTAGAGAGAGAAAAAAACCTAGAGAGAGAAAGTTAAATAAAGCAATAATACTCACATGGTCATCCCATGCCTGATCTCTGTTGAAGATGATGGCAGCTCCAAGGCTTCTAGCTGGGTTGATGCCTGTGCCTGTAATGGGGATGGTGGCCAAATGCACCAGGAACACTGCAAACCCAATTGGAAGGGGAGCCAGGATCTACATGAATATGAAGACAATTAGTCATCAGATTTCCTTAGAGTGAGAAAGCAAGCTAGAGAGAAAACTGCAGCATTTGAGATTCTGGGTCTACATGAAAAGAAGCTCAAATCCATCATGGAAGTGTGAGGAAGTCTGATTAAAGACAGGGAGGGTGAGGACTTACAGGAACATGAGAATCCCTAGCATTCCTCTTAGCATCAGTTGCAGAGAAGACAGTGTAAACAAGAACGAAGGTGCCGACAATCTCCGCACCGAGTCCATCGCCCTTAGTGTAGCCATGGTTCACTGTGTTCGCACCACCACCGAGAACCTCATACCTCCCCTTCTCGAACCCCTTCACCACTCCAGCTCCACAGATTGCACCCAGGCATTGCATTATCATGTAGAACACCGCCCTTGTAAGAGACAGCTTCCTCGCCAAAAGGAGCCCGAATGTTACTGCTGGGTTTATGTGACCACCTAGAGGGAGAAAGAGAGAGTGACGGAGAAATTAGAGAGAGAGAGAGAGAGAGAAGGGGAGTCCTTTTAAATGGGGTTTACAGGGAATGGAAGAGAGAAGAGTAGGAGCAAATAATGGAGGTTTTAGAGAGAGAAAGTGAGGGATTTAGAGAGAAGAAAAAAACCCCACAAAACTTTTGGCAGCCATTACCTGAGATACCAGCAGTGCAGTAAACAAGAGCGAAGATCATCCCGCCAAAGGCCCAAGCAATCCCCTGAATCCCCACCGAAGTGCACATGGTTTTCTCTTTCTTCACCCCCATAACTGTGAGCACAGTTATGTACAGAAAGAGAAAGGTGGCTATGAACTCTGCAATTCCTGCCCTCCAAAAGGACCATGACTTGAGCTCTTCAGGCTCAAACAATGGAGCAGGGGGTGGTTCCTTGTAGTCCTTGTCCCCGCTTTGAGCTGCAGTTCCAATGGGTTGTCTCTCTGAGAACTTGTTGGCTCCAAGCTTCACATCCTCTTCCTTTCCCTCCATCTTTCTCTCACTAACTTGTCTTTCTCTCTCTAAGATGGCTGCTGTTTTGATGGCACTCTCTCTCTGTAGACAGGGAAGATGGAATAGAAGACAGAGGGGAGGATGATTAGAGTGAGAAAGTGGGGGGGTTGGTTGCCCTTTTTATAGAGGTTCTGGGGTTGCTGTAGAGTGAGAAAAAAGGTGGGGCAATGGATTTCGTATTTTAACGGTAGGAAGGAAAGTATCTCAATCAATTTCTCTCTTTTTTGGTTTTGTTGCTGGATTGGTAAGGGGTGGCGCCGGGCCCGGGTCAGCGTTAGCCGTAGTCCTGCCCTTGTCCCTGTAGAATTGGCCCAAATTCTCATCCGTTGGAGACTACCAATGTAATCGGAACATACGTCGACAAAAAGATCGCCCTAAGATAATCATCATGTGGCTATTGAGAACGAATCAAATCAAATGGTTATATTTCTCGGTCTTTCTTGCTCGCTCCTACGGAACTTGGGTCGAAAAGATTAAAAAAAGCCAGTCATTCACAACCAATGAAGGATTCCCCCAACAGAGCCGGTCTAGGCCAAACTGAGCCGGCACCAGACCTTAGGCCACAAAATGTGGCCCTATTTTTATAGGGCACCAACCGAGGCAGGTTCTTGTCAAAGTGCACTGCCACTAGCCCTTGGGCCACAAAATGTGACCTAGGCCCTATCTTTCTAGGGTACCAACTGAAGCGGGCCAGGCCGCCAAGCCCATTGCCCGCCCCAGAGCTGAGTGTAAATATTGCACATCGTTCTAGAAGGAGGCAAAGAGGATGAGCGCTCTCTCTCTCTCTCTCCAAATTTTTGTTATCAAATATTGGATGTATTTGTTGTATAACAAATCAAATGGAATGCAATGTGTGTAATGCTTATCTAATCACTTATGGCCGGTGGTCTATGGTTTATGCAATATATTTTTTATTTATGGCCGGTGGTGTTTTGCAATATCATTAATGAATTTTTAACTAAATTCACCATAAATATATAAATTTAGCCAAAATAGTTTAATCCATAGGGCAAAATTCTTGCTAGTAATATTTTTTTAAATCTCAAATTATGGAGATGAAATTTCTAGAACCACGTGACTAAACTCAAGGAAGGAAGAAAAGAAAAAATAAATTAACTCTTAATTGCCAAAAATAAAATGCACAAGAACCATCTATTTCTTAAAGGGAGCCGTTTTGCATAGAGCCTAAGTTCTAAACAATCAAATTCGAGCCTACTTTTAAATAGTGTCCAAAAATGTAGTTTCAATCTTGTAAATATTTGTGATAGTATCAAAATATATTTTCACCTTTATCTATAAGGTTTAAAGCTTCAAAAATAGTGTATATCGCTAGAAAAATTTGAAAATCTTGAAAATTGACAGTCTAAATATGCGTTACAAAATACACTATTTCCAAAACTTTAAATCCATTTTTTTCTCATGTCCATACATCTTGATGTCGAGATGATCAATTTGAGAATATCTGGACATCAAAACAACCTCTTCTAATAAAATTTTTGAGGTAGACACGAATTTGATTGTTTAGAGCCTCAACTCTAGATAAATTTTTCCCTTTCTTTAAAGATCTAGATATTCAAGAACTAAAATCCAAATTTTTTGTTTAAAAATAATCACCTAGTGTCCTTAAATAGATCCCAAAAAACACTTGAGGCTGGAATAAACTTATAT